ATACCGAAGTAACCCTACCATCCAGGTTCCTTCTCACAGCCCTACGATCCATGCTTTCATATCGAAGTAACCCTACTATCCAGGTTCCTTCGCACAACCCTACTATCCAGGCTTTCATATTGAAGTAACCCTGCTATCCGGGTTCCTTCTCATAACCTTACTATCCAGGTACCTCCTCTCTTATCTCTAGACAACAGTCCACAACACTGTAAGACCAGGACCCGATCAAACATGATTGGTTTCACATTTCCCCAGTAAGTCACGGTGTAGCATATACTCTGACCAGATATGCAGTACACTTCCGCTTCCTCAAGTTGGAGTTATTCCCCAGTAGAGTAACAGACAACTGAAGTTCCTAAAACTCTATTTCTCCCAAGACAGGAAATCGACATCCTCTAGATGGCATCTTTAAGCCCATCTTCGATGATTCTCCATCACATCCAGGATGGCATTTTTAAGCCCATCTCCGATAATCTTCTATCATCGACTTCCAAATGGCATCTATAAGCCCATTCCCGATATCACAAATCAAGTATCACTTCGTGCAAGCGCAAATTTCTGGGCACTCTAGTGTTCAATCATCTTCCACCTTCAGATCACGAAAGGCAGATGAGCCAATCTACATCCTCAGGTTTAAGAAGATTGAACAGGGGAAGCTGTTGTACCCCAAAATTTTCCCTCTCATTTTACTCAACAAATGTCAATTGAGGTCCCCAAGTGGCTCAAGGAAGTCCAAGAGTTGACCAGACAAACTCTCTCCTAAGGCAGTGCACCTCAAAATTAGGGTTTCTACTTTCATCAAGATGGGTGGACCGCGAAGGTCCTAAATAATTCCCAAGATCATCCATGCCAAGTTTCAAGCCTTGTATAAGAAGTTTGCTCAACCAACTGCTCAGATGCTTGAGAATCGACTGTATTAGGTCAAAAGTCAAATGTGGCCCATATACAGTCAAACGTCAAGATTTTTGGTCAAAATCAACATTTTGAAGTGTTATCCATCATTTGATAAAGGGTTGATCATGATTCCCCAAAGAATTCTCCAAATTCATCAAAACCCAAAAGTTGCCAAATTAGGGTTTTGTAGGAAAAGTCAACCCAACTTTTACCAAGCATAACTTCTTCATACTTTATCATAAATTTTCCATCCAAATATCATTTTTAAGAGGATACATTTCCTTACAATTCATCTTCATCTCATAAGTTCAAAATATGCACTCACAAAAAGATATGAATTTTGACATTATAGGTCATTTTGAAAAGTCAACTAAAACACCTTTTGGGTCAAAGATTCATACATGAACATGGAAGATCTAATTGAGATGAGACCAAAAGGGTTGGTTAGGGTACATCCTAAGATTTCTAAAAAGTCAAAGAACACCCTCATAGAGTCAAAATTGAGAAAGTTGTGCATTGTCAAAGTTGGCAATTTTTGGAAAATTGCTAAAAGTTAACATTGATCAAATTTGCATTTTTCCAAAAGGGCCCATGTTTTCTTGCTTGAAACATGTTTCTAATAGGACCCACGACCCCTGAGCTCATTCAACTCTTATTTTATTATTTTTATCATTTATTTTGATTTTTTTATTCATTTAAATCAAACTAAATCAAATAAATTATATAAATTAGTAAAGATTTGTTTTTGATCTGATTTTGAATAGAATCACAATCCAATTATGTGGTCAAACAAAATCAAATCGTGCAAAGGGTGATTGGGATGAGAATGGCATGATTTGGCTTGATTTAGGAAGAAATAATGCAAAGAGGAAATCAAATCAAATCTTCCTAATTTGCCAAGATTTGAATACTTTTTGTTGACCTAATTTAGTGCACTACATATATATAACAATTCCAATGCACAAGAAGAAGGATTGGAGGCGTGAAACCGCGAGAGAGAAATTGAAAATTTGGACAAAAAAAGTGTGAGATCAAAATCCACCCTAGATCCATCCTCACGGAGATTTAAAGATTCCAAACTATTCCAGGACATCCCGGGAAGCTAACAACATCCTTTGCAAGTCTCATAGCATCCAGAAATTGTCCCCAAGAGCATCACGGTTTGCACTAAGAACTCAAATTCGTTTTCTATGATTTACGCATTATAAATTTATTTTCCCCATATATTTGTGTTCATCATCATGTTTGCAATGTTTCTGGATAGTTTGATTTAAGTTACAGTGTAGGAATAAGTTTTTGCCATTGCTAGGGTTTCGTGCTCTAATTAGGGGGTTTTATGATTTAAGCAAAATTAGGCCTGATGATGGGAACCATGATGATTAGGGCTTCAAGCCCGGTTGATTCATGGTCACCAATTTAATTTATCTTGCATGTACATGATTGTTGAGATGCACAGGGTTATAGCCATGGCCAAAATCCGTAGGTAAAAGTTGTTACCTAAGACAACAGTCCCAACGAAGAAGACAATGGCGTGGCAAGGCGTGATTGGTTCATTCAAACTTCGCACGTTTTTTCTGGTAGGACACTTGATTTGGCTTTTGTTTTTATTTATTTATTATATTTACAACTAATAATTCCAGCGCAGTTGGTCAGAGGAAGGAAGTATGAAGCTCATGTCCTGGGTTCGATCCCATGTGTGAGCTTTTGGCATTTTCTCCATTATTTCCTTGCAGGTTCCATGCACTTCACCTTCTGAGGACCATCATCCTCTGGATCTACCTCCAGGAAGATCCAGCATACCTCATCTTCTGAGGATCATCATCCTCTAGATCCATCTCCATCCAGATCCAGCATACCTCACCTTCTGAGGATCATCATCCTCTGGATCCATCTCTAGCCCGACCAACACACCTCACCTTCTAAGGATCAACACGTGCCCTCTGATCTCATCCTCTGGATCCATCTCCAGCCAGATCCAACGCCAGCATATGCAGGTCCACCATGAGCCCCTAGAAGATGGTCTCATGGGATCAGGCGCCAGACTTTGGGCCATCCTTCTGGGGTTCAGAAGTTCAGCATACACCCCCAGTCTGCTTCATCACTCCAGGCCCATTCTTTTTCTCCTCTTTATTTATTTTCTTGTTTTAATTATTTTTGTTTATTTATTTTTCACCAAAAAATTAATTGTTTTTTAATTAATCATAAAACCAACAAATCAAAAAAATACAAAAAGCTTTTTTTTAATAATAAATTATTTAATTTAATTAGGAAATTAGGTTAATTTAATTTATTTCATAATTTAAAAACAATTAGAAATTAGGTTTAATTAATTTGCAATTAAATGTTTTCTCAAATAAAAATTCACGAGAACAAAAATGTTTTTCTCTCGATTAGGGTTTTAATTTATTAATTACTGTCCTCATATTTAATTTGCCGCGCGCTTGTTAATTATTTTTTCCATTATTTTGTAACTGTTCAGGGTTTGTAATAGTTAAATTAGGGTTTTATTTCTTGCTTTAAATCCCCGATTTTTGGTTATGTACACTAGTGCATAAATGACTTTTTACATCGGGTGAAACTGACTTTTTACATCAGTTCTGGGTCCAATATAAAGTCAGGCGATATAGTAAATCAGGGACTTTTTACATCGGTTCTGGGACCGATGTAAAAAATCTCTTTTTTACATCGGTTATAATATAAGAACCGATGTAATAAACTGTTATTATGCACATTTTTAAAAAAATTGATCCAGTTTTTTACATCGGTTGTAAGTAATACCCGATGTAAAAAGTCCCTTTTTTACATCGGTTATAATATATGAACCGATGTAAGAAACAGTTACTATGCACATTTTTTTAAAAAATTGATCCAGTTTTTTACATCGGTTGGAAGTAATACCCGATGTAAAAAGTCCCCAGTGACGCAACTTTTTACATCGGTTATTATCCCCAACCGATGTAAAAAGTCCCTTTTTGAAAGTTTTTACATCAGTTTTTACTAATAACCAATGTAAAATGTATGGAATTTTTTTGGAATAGATTATTTATTTTCTGGATGTTTCCCTGTACAAATATAATTTGTACCCATTTTTCATATTTTTCCAATATCACACAGACTATATTTATGTTGCTATATAGATTTCATAGCTTTCCAACATCACATATATCACATCTAGGTCGATGTTTTCATATTTTTCACAACAAACTTACAAATTGAACAATTGTATTGCAAACTTGTATTGTATTACAACAAACAAACTTACAATTACAAATTCTTCACAAAATATACAACAATATTCAACTATTTATAAGTCTTTTTTCAAAACTTACAATTACATATTATTCACAAAATATACAAAAATATTCAACTATTTATAAGTTTCCAAGCTTAAATTACCAATATAAAATCTTCGGTAGACAACAGCAAAATCACATTGCCTGACAATAAATAATAACAATTAACACCAGCAAAAAAATCAAGAAACTCAAATGTGCAAAAACCATATGTATTGTGCAAAAACCACAACTTATACAATTCTATAAAACTCACCAAGATAAACTTAATTTGCATGTAACTCAAAGAAACATTTTGCCCAACGAAGTCGCAAATCATACAAATCATCTTGTGTTAATTCTGTTGGGTCATCAAATACCTATAATACATAAATATAACAATATATAGTTAATTTTTAAAAATTCATATTAAGTCCCATTATCTTTTTGAAATTACCAGCCTTTTTGTTTCATCAAAGTTTATATTATTTTGTATTTTCTTAAAAAGGGTATTTATCATTAAACATTTTGTTGTCAAAAAAAAAAATCATTAAACATTTTTACCTAAACGTACCTGGAACCCCACATGCAAGTTATTAGATTAAATTGTGATATTGTTTTTATATTTATATTTCATGTGCCAATTAAAACACCACGTGCATATGTTCAGAATATGTTTCACTCCTCTCTTTCTATATATACAAACTTTCAAAACAATGAAACTCAAAACAGCAACATTAGCATCAAACTATAGAAGAAATCCTCTATTTGAGAAATCCAATTTCATCAAAGAAGAAATTCAGAGGACTTAAACAAGTCACATAAATCAAAACCATGGCTTATTGGTCTGCAGAAAATGCCACAAAAGCCTTTCTCAGCACTTTGAAAATGGTCAGTATATTAATCATTATTTTTCTGTCACAAGTTTTAAATGAATATATTATCTTGTAATAATTTTCCTTTCTACAACAATTTTTTTCTGATCTGATTTTTTATTATTTTTCAATAGGATCAAAAGGCAAAAGAACCATCGGTTGCTGAATATATATCAGCATTAGCAGCTGGAAACAATGCACAACTAATGGTAGTAGCTTGTGCTGCTGCAGCTGATTTAACAACATTTGCACTAATTGCTGCTGCTAATCAAACTAATGGCAATGTGATATGCATTGTACCTAACAATGAAGATTTACTTGCCTCAAAATATTTCTTAGGAGAATATTCTAATAAAGTGAAGTTCATGATTGGCAAAGAAGCACAAGAATTAGATGTACTAAACAAAGCTGATTTTGTGGCAATTGATTGTAATCTTGTGAGCCATGAAGAGATTGTGAAAGATAAAGTCCTAGAAGTATGAAGTTTAGACACACAAATTGGCACATTGATTGGGAAAGTACAAGTAAAAACTCAGGACCAAAAGACTTCATTTTTTCAAATTTTGTCCCTCACTTGACATGTAGAACACCCGTTTTATTTTTGAAGGAAGAGCTGGAGCCGAAAAGCTTTCCTAACCATGAAATTATAAAATTTTAATAAAAGAGAAATACAGTATGTAACAATAATCAGCAGCATCGTGTAAAATCTCAATCAAGTGAACCAACAAACTATTGACTATGACTTTCAGTAGATGGATACTCGAATCACTACTACATTCTTGTGTGATTCAGAAAACAATGCATATATTTCAATTCAAAGTCAATACCCATCATTATATGGGAAATCCCCCTGGCCAAATTTATAAAATAGAAGGTAAAATTCTATATTTTTATGGTAAATTTTTCTCTGTTTCAAAAATAATTAACATCCAACATTTAAATATCTTCAAATATCAATCCAATTTTTTTCAAGTCATGCAACATCAGAATAAGAATCTTCAAATTGCTCAGTTCATCAAATAAGAATCTCAAAAAGCTATACAAGCTTTATCTCAGGCAATTAAAACAAATTACAGTAAGGGTAGACAATGACAAGGAAAATACATTGTCTTACCTTCTTAATAGGTACCGTTGTTCCACCGGATGGGTGAGAAATTTCATTTTGTCCCCGAATAATAGTTCCATCCTAATACAATGACAATGCAATATCAAGTTTTCTAACAGTAAACAAATAAACTTTCCCTAAAGTAGCATTTAACTATTAAGAAACCATACGATAATTTCACAATTAAATAGATGTATCATACCAATAATTCACACCCTAATATAAGTCTGTCATTGGTTGAAATCACCGGGAGAACAAGGCTTTCAGGGGGAATATCAGATGAATCTGACTTTGAATCCGATGAATCTGACCTGCACACATGAGAAAATAACTCAATTATTTTCAACTTTAACATCATCTAAACCAATTTACACAAATATGATGCATAGGAAAATTGTATCCAACTAAAATCACATAAGCTACTTTCAATGAGAAAGAAAAGTTTAATATATTGCAAAGTAGATCTCACGCTTTTGTTTTATACCTATGCCATATGTGTTTTGCTTCTTAGTTGAAATGAGTACAAATAATGATTTTGACAGCAGCACAATTCAATAACCAATTTATCACAATCAAATCAAAGTTCACAGAAATTATCACAGAACAATCAATAATATAATGAAGAGTTACCGAACAGTTTGCGAAATGTCAAATGCTGGAGACGCAAAGAGAAGCGGCGGCAGATGAAAGGAAGTGGTTGAGAGGATGAAGAATGGTGAGGCGGAGGATGTTTGAAGGCGGTGTGAGAAGAGAGGAAGGGAGGTCGCGCGAGAGGATGAAGAATGGTGAGGCGGAGGATGTTTGAAGGTGGTGTGAGAAGAGAGGAAGGGAGGTCGCGCGAGAGGGACCGGCGGCTGAGGTTTGGCGCGATAGTGATGGTGAGCGGCGACTGAGGTTTGGTTTGAAACGGCGGAAAAACGAACAGAAACTGCGGTCGAACGGCGGTCGAAAACCTTCGGAAACGGCGATCGATGATGGTGGCTGGGAAACGGCGGTGGTTGGATCGTGAGCATGAGCGTACAGTGGAAAGGAGTGAAACGGCGGTGGTTGGGTCGTGAGCATAGAGTGGAAACGGCGGCCAAGGAGAATATTATACAGTGGAAATACTGAAATTTGTGAAATAAGGGTTTAACAAGCTATTACCTCGGTGGAATAGGATAACCAATGTAAGGGTTGGTTTAGTGGACAACCTATTACATCGGTGGAACCTTACAACCGATGTAAGGGTTTTGGCTTTTTTACATCGGTCCATTGTAATAACCGATGCAAGCTGATTTTCTGGCTTTTTTACATCGGTTTATACTTCAACCGATGTAATAAGTTGCGAAAAAATTATTTTATTCTTTAATTTATTTTTTATATTAATATCTGTTGTGAAGATATTACATCGGTTTTTAGTCAACCAATGTAATATATTGCATGTTTTTTTTAATATTTCTACTACCTTGTTTCTTATTTACAAAAATGCCACCGTATTTTTTTCTGAAAACTTTTTACATCGGTGGATGCGTTTGCCCGATGTAATAGGTAGCGGAATATATATTTTTTCATATGTTTTATATCATTGCAAATAAATACCTGATGTAAAAAGTTTGTTAGTTGTATTTTTTACATCATATATTTTGATACCCGATGTAAAAACCTTTTCTCAAATGTCTTTTTTTTAGTAGTGGTAATTAATCCCCCTCCCCGAAGCCTTGTAATAGCTAGGTTTTACTTCCTCGCACTTTTAATTTCCGCAATCTTTAACTGTTAGATGTGTGGCTAATAAGATTGTATGGCAAGAGTGCATGAAAAATTAAAACAGTTAGAAAACCCTAATATGCAAAGATTAAAATAACTGAAACAAATCGCTCGCACATGTTCACTCCTAGAGTTTACCTAACTTCGGTTGCCTTCGGTAAACAATCATTAAGCATAGAAGATTTTAGTGGTTACCCTCCAGTCTAAAGAGATCAAATTGTCCTATTCAAATGTTGCCTCGAAAATGTTGCCTCGGAAATATCTTAAGACTCTAGGGTTACTACTAAAGTTTTCTAACTATTGCTTTAGTGATTGTACTTGTCCCTTTCGAATGTCCCTTACAAATCCAACGACGGTGCTACCTACTCCTTAATAGTGGGATATCGTTGTCTAAAGGAAATAGGACAGAAATGATCTTCTTTCAAGTAGGTAGATGCTAGTAGGTACTTGCTCAAAACAAATCTTTTCACACAAACACCTTTTCAAACAAATTTTCAAAACAAACTTCATCACATCCTTGAGGACTGATACAAGGGTTATCACGAAGTAAGACAAAACTTTTCCAAACAAGCACACACAAGCAATTTTAAAATGATCAAGTACCTAAGAGCCCGTAGATAACTACTGATAGAAAGGGTGCTAACACCTTCCCTTTCTATAATCTACCCCCCGTACTCAGAAATATCTCGAAAAAAGGTTTTTTTTTGTTCTTTTTCCTTTTCCATGATTGGATGAAGTAAAAGTCGGTGGAGACTCTTGCTTACCGCGACATTTTACGAACAAAAACGCAAAACGTAAACCAGTATTAAACAGTCGGTTCTACCATCGTATCACACGTGGGATACTTATCTTTCGTTGATAGAATTCACTTATAATAACAATTACCATTATAGTATTGGGATGACACCTTTTGAGGCATTGTATGGTCGGAGATGTAGAACTCCTTTGTGTTGGCATGAATTTGGAGAAAGTGTAGTGCTTGGACCTGAACTTGTTTGTGAGACTACTGAGAAGGTGAAGTTGATTCGAGAAAAGATGAAAGTTTTCCAAAGTAGACAAAAGAGTTATCATGAAAATCGAATGAAGGACTTAGAATTTCAATAAGGTGACCATGTGTTTTTGAGAGTTACACTTGTAACTGGTGTTGGGCGAGCGTTGAAGTCTAAGAAGCTCACTTCTCGTTTTATTGGTCCATATCAGTTATTGGAAAGAGTTGGAAATGTTGCTTATAGAGTGGATTTACCACCTAATCTTTCAAATTTGCATGATGTGTTTCATGTGTCACAACTCCAAAAGTATATTTCAGATCCATCTCATGTGATTCATATGGATGATGTGTAAGTACAGAATAATCTTGCTATAGAGACGATGCCTGTACAGATCACGGATCATGAAATGAAGACTCTAAGAGGCAAGGGAATTGCTTTGGTGAAAGTCGTCTGGCTAGGAGCTGTCGGAGAAAGCATGGCTTGGGAGTTGGAAATCAAGATGCGGTACTCCTATCCTGAGTTGTTTGAATGAGCTAAATTTTCGAGGACGAAAATATTCTTAGTGGGGGAGAGTTGTAACACCCGTTGATTTAATTAATTATTTAATTAAATTATTTAATTAAATTATTTAATTAAATTATTTTTGGATTATTTGTTGAAGTTGTGAAATATTGAGAATCGTGGGTATAAGTTGTTAGATTATTATTAATTAATTAATTATTTGATTAGTAATAATAAATGTTGGAATTATTGGTATTAGTGATTGGGCTAATTTTGGTGGTATGTTGTATTAATGGGGTGTGAGAATTAGGTCCAATAGACTATTATTATTATGTTTAGTAATAAAAGAAATTAGTTTAATTTAGAATAAAGAATTGGAAGTTGATCGTAGGAGTTACAGAAGAATGAGAAGTTGCAAAGAAGAGGAATAAGGAGAAGAGGCGAAGCAGGATTCGATCGGAAAATCATAGAGTGACCTTTAATCCAAGGTAATGGTGGGGTTCTGACTCTATAATGAGAATTATGATGAATATTATGTAGGAATTGGGTTGGTATGATGTTGTGGTGCATATAATATTGTATTTGTTTATGAATTGTCTGCAAAATTAACCTATTTTATCATCGAATATGTTGTTGAAAGTTACTCCATGTTGACGTTGGTATAGTTTTTATGTTGTCGTGATTATACATTGTGTTGGTCTGTGTTGTACCCCAAAATTTTCCCTTTCAATTCTCAAAGTATCAATCACAATGATTCTCAAAATTCAAGCTTGCACAAGTACATTGGGATTTTCCAACACCAGAATTAAAAGGAAACTATCAAAAAAGGAGAAAACAGATAAAAATAACATTTCGAAAAATTTGGAGGAAAATAGGTCTCCTTCGATTCAGCACCCTTCAATTGGACTTTGCACCTCCTTCTATTGCTCAAAATTAGCTGCCTGCAAGCCTGCTTCGATTTGGACAAGTTTACTGCCTACAAGCCTGCTTCGATTGGACAAGTTTGCTGCCTTCATGCTTGCTTCGTTTGGAAAAGTTTCGATGGGACAAAGTAACCATCTCTATGCATCCTTTGAATCCACTTGCACCAAGGGCCTCTTGCAGACTTTGCTTCATACAAGCTTCGTTTGAGCCAAGAGGTATC